CCCAGTCTCACTGGGTAATTTGATTTAATTAAATTCATGGAATATTTATTTTGTCTTAATAGACTCTCTGAAGGTGGTGTTACTCCTAATAAATTCATAAAATGAAATGTTTCTACAGCCTTTTAATATATATTCCTTACAGACACGACAGATTAGCAATGTACACATTTTCACTGACAGCTTGGGTGTGTAGCAGGAGGCTTGGGAGAGAGTAACATATTCAGGAGATGCTGAAGCTGGATGCTGGCCAGCAGCTTTCTTCCCTGAGAAAATCTTTCAGCGGCTGCTTGACGGGACACGCACTTAAAATGGACAAGGTTCAACAAAGAAGTGGGCTCAGTATTAAAGGTACAAAGGCTGCAGCAGTCGATGATGCAGTGCTGAATTTTGATATCATGGGAAGCGCTGGGTAAATGGCTTTTCCTGTGGAGAAACCACCTGCTTGCAGATTCTCAAATGTACCTTGATTTCTGTCCAGCCAATGCGAAATCCTTTGGAGGAAGTCTTCAGTTCCTTCCTCTCGGTAATGTTTTTGGCTGCACAAAGTAAAGCCTTTCCTCTTAAGGCTTTTTTAAAAAAGATAAAATGGTAACACTGGTTGTGAGGTATGAACAAAAGAATTGAATTACAAAAGGTCTGTTTTGACATATTTCTTTTATCTCTCCTTGGTAGTGGGAGCTTCTGAAGTCATTTTGCAGCATCACATATGTCACAGAGATGAGAAACTTGTAGGTGATTTACTTTTTCCAAAAGCCACATAGCTAATTTGATGTCAATACCAGGTGTATGAATATCAGGCTGTAAAAGGGCGTTGGACGAAATCCAGAGTCGTGCACTGCAAAGTAAGCACTCATACACAGGAGAATCTGAAATTAAAACTATCGCTCAGCCTGTAACTCAAGGAAGAGAGATGAGACTTTGCAATAATGTGAGAGTCCCAAGGGTTTAAGCATCCTTATCAGTAATGGGGTACAGGTGTACCCAATCAGGAACTAGCGCAGACCATTTAGCATTCAGGGAAGGGGATTGCCAACTGTGCTACGTGGATGGAACAGAGGAGTGTGAGGGTGTGTGTGAAACACCCCTGTGTGAAAAATTGGTATATCTGATACCTTTTTTTTTTCTCTGGTGTGTCAGATCAAAGTGTTTCACAGTTAAGAAATTTATGATGAACTCTTGGTGGATGAGTGACCTGAATATCTAGATTTTTTGGGGTGTGAAATGAACTTTCTGGTGCAGCATCTATTGGATGTTTTGGTGGATGTTTCTGTTTTTGGCTGGTCCACTTTTTAGGAGAGTGGTATGTCCAGACTCTCACTTGTTGTCCAGGAAAAAAAAAAAAAAAAACCTCTTGGCTGCATTCTGAGTTTGCAGGAAGAGGCCACCTCCTGTTCTTTAAGCATTTAAGGGGCTGCCAGTTATGTCTTCTGCAACTGTATCATAAAATGCAGCTGTATAAATCAGTCACAGTGAAAGAATGAAAAAGTAAAGGATGACTATTCTGCACGGGGGCCAACCAATTCAGAGAGTGACAGTGTAATTAACACCTCCTTTTGTACTTGTGTGCTTCCGTACAGTTTTATGGAGTCTCTGCAGACCCATCTGATCTGTGGCTCTGACTAATGGCAACAAAAGGCTTCTATGCCAGAGCTCTCTTAATGCACATAATGTAGTTTACGGCTGGTTACCCGCGAGTTGACTCCACAGTTTAGTAGAGGGTGGCCTGATTTAACAGCCCAGCTTCTGATATCTCCAGCCGGCGGGGAGTATGTGGCAAGTTTATCACCATAAATGAATCACATTCAGATTGTTATACTGAAGCAGTATCCCATCCTTCTGCTGGGTAATTTTCTTCTGTAAATCGGACCGTTGTTCCTATTTGCGTCAGCTGTCCTATCAGATGCCGCAGGTCATTCAGCTTTAAGGTCTAGTTAATTCCCTCCGTCCCATTTTTAATACTCTGCGTAGCCAGAGGACAGCATCTGAGCTCCAGAATGTAGCCCAGATCGACTAAATAAGACATTCGCAGCAGATGTGTGCTTTTGTTAAAGGTCAGCTCAATTTAGGTGCATGGAGGATGTTGTAATCGAATTTGTATGAACACGTGCGGCTTTCGCTTGCTTCTCAATAGACACAAGGCCCTTCCATGTGATCTTGGGGCTGGCATCAGCGTTCTGCTGCCACCCCGCCATAGAGGACGTCTTGGGTCGGGCATGATGGACACGCAGCTGATGGCCTTGCCTCTCATCCCAGGGGTCTCACTGCCGTCTCTGATGAGCTGTACAGCCCTACTGGAGGAGTCCGTATATCTGATTAGCATTCATTCCACTTCAAAGGCACTGGGTTCGCTGCCTCTGATTGGGGGGTTCATTAGTGTCTAACGTGGACCTCAGGAGGAAGCTGCTGTCCACCAGAATATTTATTCTCCCCAGGTACGCTCCACGGTTTCCGAGGGAACCGTCCGCTAACCCAGAAAAAATACCAATAAAATAATAAAAAAAAAGAATTTTAATGAAATGGCAAAATGTAAGGAAAAACAGCTCTACTCAAGACACCCGTGCACATGATTAGCGTCAGCTGGCTGCGATAATGGAAACATCAAAGGAAGAAAGTGTGGATCTGTAGCGCTCATAGGTGGGGCTCGGCCGTGCGAGGAACCGATTCGACTGTGTGTACCTGCAACTGGACCACTGACAGATTGTAGCTTCTGGGTTATGGGGCTTCAGAGATCCTTTGACAAATGTTTCGGAGACGGAGTTTTATATTTCAGAATATTTCTGGGTGGTTGAAGGGTGTCGGCCCCTCAAGGGTTCTTGCGCAAGGTGAGTCTGCTGAGGAACCCTGTCACTATAAGTTGGTGCAATTGGGAATGCTGGGCCTTCGCTGGGAGATATGGGAGATTTCTCATCAGCAAAAAAAAGAACAGTGCCGCCTGTCTTTCTCTGCATAATCACATCAAAGGTGATTACTTTAACCACATGAAGAGGACTTAGTTCCATGAATTGAACAATGGAAACCAAATACGGGCAGTTGCATGATGGGCAGCGATGCTAAAGTAAACAGCGTTCTTTATAAAAAATGAGTCTCGGGGCGAGAGTTACGGTAATGAGGGGTGGGGGGGTGGGTGGTGGCAGCGACGAGGGTCTCCAGGTGTCCAGCAGAGCGGGAGGGTCTCAGTCAGCCGTCTTAGTGGCTCCGTCTCAGTGTCAGTTAATTTGCAGCCATGTGACAGCTGGTGGCCCCTGTAAGCCTTCACTGGATCACTTCAGAGATATTCCAGCTGAACTGACTTGGAATGTTGTCTGTGGAGCATGTTATGCATGCTTAAGTGTAAGAATTGCCACGGACTGATGTTCTGATTGATAAAACGTGCATATATCTATATATATTGTAGAAATACACACACGCAAACACACAATGCATACACATATATAGAGTAGTGTACAATAGTATCAGGTGGTCAAAGTTAAATGATATTCATGTTGGTGTAAGTATATGATATTACATCTGTAAAAGCGTGTTAGTGTAGCCATTTCAAAACCTTACACTTACCCCAGTATTTGCACCAACTGTCCAATACCCCACTGCATTTTTCCATTTGACCACTACCCCACCGTGTTTGGCTAATCAATACCTCACTGAGTCATTTAACTAATGAAATTAATCGGGCTTGTGGTGAAATTTAACAAATACATGTAACGGCTAAGGAGAGGTTTGGGAACCAGAGCGGTGTTCATCTAGCCGTCCAACAAGATATCAGTGACTTTTTGGAGAACAGAAGAAATAAATTTTTTATTGTGTTACTATAAATGTGACTGCCTAAGACTTCACACAGTACTGTATATACTGTGCAGATAGACACTATATGTAACCATTATGTGAGAACAAAGCATGGCTTTGCATTAATGAATTGTTCTATCTTCCTTTGTGTATTTGTATTGTTTAATTAATGATAGCAAAGGTGGGTGTATTGTCCTGCCAGTGTTTATTTTAATTGTATGGTATATGTCTTTTAAGTAATAATTAACATACAGATATGCAATATATGAATTTTAAGTATTTAATTGTGCAATATTTAACTTTTTAAATTAATTTCCCTTATATGGTATATTCGTATTTTAGTTTCTTTTTGGGATTTGCCTTTTCATTTAGGGGAAGACGAGCCCTTCGCTTTTCACAAGGGCATGCCGCTAGATGGAAAGCTGTGCCATGACTCATTTGCTTTGACTCACTCACTTTGACTCACTCGCTTTGACTCACTCGCCTTTGACCTTGACCAGTTCCGTAATCCTGTTTGTTCCTCGGCCCTCACACCACACCCCAGTCGGCAAAGCGGACGCACTGGCCCCTTACCCTGCTCTTTGATGGGGATGTAGGGTGGGGCGAGTCGCTCTTCGGCTTCCCGCCTTTGTTTCTGAGTGCATGGCGTTATCATCTACCGCTTCTGTAGCTCTGGAATGTAGGTGATGGCGTGCCTCCTTGATTTACTGCGGCTGTGAAACACATCGTTTGCTCCGCTGCCTTTTATATGGCCAAAGAGAATGACTGGAAGTGCAGCTTCGGCAGTTCATGCTAGAAATGCCAGTCGATATTACGGCTGATGTTCATGGCCAGGCTATTGGTTAAATTTAACACAGCAAGGCGAGCCATTATAAACATAAGTTCTTATTTTATTGGGAAAAGCTTTTATCCAAAGCAGCTTACGTAGTGTACAATTTATTCTGCCTTTTATGGAATAATACTTTCACTGCAGTCCCATTCAAACAGCTTGTAGGAGTTTTTCTTACACAAAAATGTTCTGAGGGCAGAACGAAAAATGATTGGTTCAGAGAGATAACCAATCAGATTGTAAAGGAGGTGGGTTCAAGCAACTAGAGGAGGCAGGACTTGGTTGGTCCTGCCACTTCAAGTTGTTTGAACCCACCTCCTCTGCAATGAAATTGGTTATCTCTCTGAACTAATATTTTTTACATTCTGCCCTCAGAACATTTTTGTGTAAGTAAAACTCCCATGAGCATTGTAACAGTTCATTGATAGAATTGCAAGACACTCACTGGTCTTGCAGGCCTATGCCTATAATTTCTATGCTGTCCAAATCGAAAACAACCTATTTGTAAATGTATCACTATTGTCATGTCTAAATAGAAGGTCATTGCATTGTCTTGTGGTTTATTGTCTATTCATCACCTCGCGCTGCATTAGTGAACAAAGATGGAAAGGTGTCGGCGGTGGTGAACGTTGCGAGTGCGTTGTACTGTCATTGTGTGCCAGTGGTACCAGGTTTGTATAGTAATGGGCTGAAATTGGCTCTAGCCAGTGTTCCCTGCTGACTTGGCAGTATTTTGCCCTCTCATCAGTGAGAGTGACAGACACGTTTCCATGACTTCACCCCTCCCCAGCAGAACAGCGGCTGCTACATTGGGGAGCTGGGTCGCTGACAAGGGACCCCTGTCACAATAATCTTTTCAGACAGCAGGAATAGAAAATCGCCATTGTCCTGCACATAAAACAGCCTAGAGGTTATGTGGAAGGGATGCGAGATACTTGAGATGTTATACAGAAGATTGGATTTGTGGAAGCTTACTACTGGTGTGTAGAAGCCTATTAGAATACCTCATGTTTCTCGATGCAAAAAAGCCACAGGCCCGATTCCTCTGTCTGCGCTGTATGCAACAACAATCACTTCTGTTGTCATTGGGACTCCCTGCCAGCCTTTGAGTCCGTCTATATTCATTTGTATTATAGTTGTTTGTTGCCGCTGCTGCTGCATTTTCAGCGCTTGTCATGTCGTGTCGGCGTGGAGGCTCTGAACATTGAAAAGGAGAGAGAGCAACAAAGGATTGCAGGAAGACACAATGCGTGTGAACAGCCTAAGTCAGATGGCGCTTAAGGACAGCCCGAGGGAAATGTTTGCTGATGTGCGGAAGTACGTTTAGGAAGTGCGCGTTGATGATGATGGCTCGATCAACTCCCCTTCACCCATCAGTACAGGGTTCGGTGCTGCTCTGCAGTGTAGGCGCCAGAGGTGACGCGTCCCCTGATGACGGCCATCGGACTCCTTTGTTCCGTGGAAGCCCTGGGAAACCCCGCTTTTATGCTCCATGCTTGTTCTTGAGCCTTGGTGGTCCCAGGACAGTTTGATTTATGGCGCCCCGGCGCAAGCAATTGGATATTTTATTGCGCGTCGGTTCCGGGCTGCACAGGCGCCTCCAGCTCGCAGGTTCTCATAACCTTAGTATGCGGCGATTACATGCTAGGAATTTTCGAACATCTTGCCCCCAAAGAACAGAAAAAAATACCGTTAATGACTTTCGAATGGAAAATTTTGATTCGAAAATAGATGTTCTTGGCTTGGGTGGGGGGCTTGGAAAGAAATTATAAATTCAAAGGTTCAGACAGGGACTTTCACAGTCCCAGAACGTCCCCCGAAGCTGAAATTGGTCTTGCTATCTGCTAAGAACAATAATTCATGTGGAGCACAAGAGATAAATAGACCCCCATTGACACCAAGTCTGTAAGTTCTAAATGTATGCTAATCTGCAAGTAAAGACGGCTAAGCACTTGTCTTTCACTGGAACATTATTAATTGAAACTTGGATAGCGCTTAGGCTGATCTCTGGTAAGTGACAAATACTTTACCGCATTATTGTGATTTTTTATTTATTTATAATTGGGGCATGAGGTTCTATCTAGGCAAAGCAATATATGATGATAGATATCAAGCACACAGCATGTAAGAAGAGCTAATAAATGGAATTGTGCAAAGAATAACCTTAGCTGTGTTTCGGAGCCCGAGTCCCACCCATCAGGGGCTTGTGGGTTTAAAAAATGTGTTAGAATGATCTTGCTCGGCTCTGTTGCAGCCCATGATAAACCCAGTGAATGTGAGCCCAGCATGAGGGGACCTTTCCTGTGGCTGTGCCTCAGAACCCCTGAGTGACCCCCGACAGTCTTTTTTTTTTCCTCCCTCAACGGTCAAGGTTTACAGTGGATTATGGGATTACGTTCTGAGCAGGTGCTCGGGAAACTGGGAAGGCCATTCCGGTTAGTTTGATTGTGTTCAGCTGTGTGGATGTTGCCCAAAACTGGCCACAGCTGTTATGTGGTGGGGGAGGGGGGGACGGGGACAGTTTAGGTTTTACTGTGCAGGTTTTGGACAATGTGAAGTCCATGAAGTAATTGGACCCATGCGTGACTGATGACACGGCAGGGCCACGCACTCTTCAAAGCGAAATCCACTGGGAAGGACCATGTTTGCGGTGTGGTTCTAGCAGGGAGGACTCAACCCGCTGCACCAGTAACTCCCAGCGCTAACGAATGGCTGCTTCTTCATTAAACTAAATGCTCCCTAATGGGTTGCAATTACCCAGAGTGCACTGTCGGAGAGAGTGATTGTGCCCCTTTTCACATGGGGCCACTAGCATCTACTGCATTAGGCGGACAAACTGGTGTGCATGGGATGCACAATAGTCTGCATCACCCCAGGACCTGTAATGTGCACGGCAACTGCTAGCTCGATAATCCCCCCCACTGGTTACTTTTCCCCTTGATGTTTGCGTGCAGAGCAGTATTATTGTAGATTTGATTTTTTAATGCAATTTTTTAAAATATTATTTTCAATTTTCATTTGAAATCCAGTTTAGTTTTTGTTAGTTTTCAGTGTGATTTTCTATATTTATATATTTTGTTTATTTCTGTTTAGTGTTTTGTATATTGTAGTAAGATTTAGTGGTTTTATTTCTAGTAGAGCTCTTCTATGTGTCTGATCTTCAGAGAACCTTACATGAATACACTGTCCACATTGTGGTATCTCCTCAAAATGGGCAGAACATGTTCTAGGTATTATTAGTGGTTTTTAAAGGTAAACAAATAACTACTTTAGTACTAAAAACAATAATGCACAGATTTTGAGTTTTTTTTTTAAATTCTGTTTAAGTTTGTTTTGGCAGCAGTATTTAAAGTTTTCATTCAATTGTCTTTTTTTCATTGTATTTTCATATATTTTCTTATTTTAGTTTCTTTTTCTCATTTTACGTTTTGGTTATCATTGACAGTGACCCTGGTGCAGGGAAAGGCGGAGTCCGCTGCGGGACCCGGGCTGTGGGCAGCGCACGTCTGGCACATGGATGCTGCGTTCTGCGGGTTTTTCCTTCTCTGGCGGGCAAAATGGACAGAGAGGACAGTCCCCCCCCCCCCAATGGCACTGCATGCAGGCACAGTGTCTGCTGCTGACATAAAGCACATGGGCTGTCATTGGCCACTGGTCAGCTCTACACAGCCCAGTTTTTCGGCCTAGTCAAGCAATTTATTAATTAGGCTTATTTAACAAATTCAGATATTAATGTAATGCAGGGCATGATTTAAATGTTACAGCATATATTAGCTGAAATTTGGATGTCCTTTTTAATAATGTTAAACTAAACTGTTTTATATATATGCTAATAAAATACATTCTCGTGGCCTATATTTTTGTAATTAGTAGTGTTTAAATTTATCAGTCCTTTGGCTGATTGTTCAAACACTATTAACAAGTAATCAGGGATTAATTTAAATAATGAACGCCATTTTATTCATTTAAAGGGCCACGCACGCAGTTAGAAACAGTGAGTCATTTTATGTCATTATAAATATTCTTAACAATTTCGTTTAACAGGAGTGGAAAATGGGGCTTTGGGTAATGCATTCGGCTAAACGCGATTTTAATCGTGCAATTCATTCAATCAACAGCTCAATGAAGCGTAATTAATAAGGAGCTCAGCTGGAATAAAAAATCAGCGTACAGTGTGGGTCACTGGCACTGGCACTGAGAAGCACTCTGGATGCGTTTATGTGGTGAGCTTAGATCTTTGAGGATTTGAATGGGACAAATGCATTGTGCCCAGACAGATGGCTCTCCACTGTACTCTGGCCATGCAAACGAGCCTGTCTATAATCAGCGAATGACACTAGCTGAATATTACACCTCATTACATTTCACAAATGGTTAGAGGCCCCTGCCTTAGTAGAAAGTGTTGCCAAGCACTGTAGCAACTGGCTTCTGATTGGTTTGTTTTCATTCCTAATTGTATTGGGGTTCTGTGGTTGTTTTTTGTTGTTGTTTTTGTTACTTGTCTTAACCGCGCTTAATTTTCTCCTGTCAAATAGTCAGAAACGCATTTAGCCAGCAAGCAAACATCACCTTACAGTATTTTATAGAGAAGCTCCTTCGAACACGGCAACAGATTCGACAGACCATTTTAGATTTTAATTTCAAAATGCGTTCATCTCAAAGTCGCAGTCTCTTTTGTCACTCAGTAATTACTTTGACAGGACTGGAGTCCCCAGCTCCCCTTTCTCATTTCAGTCCTTCACTTCTCCCCAAAACAGAATGAGTGATTGTCTTCCATGCTTCTGCATTGCTAATCAATGGGGACTGCGATTGTGTGTGTCTTTGTGTACATATGGAAGTCTACATAAGTGTAAATGAGAATGCATATTAGTAAGTGTTTGTATATGAATACCCGCTTATATTTTTGTATTTGAACGTTCCTGTGGGCATGTGTCTGCGTGTCAGTTTATATACATGTGTGAGTGTGTCAGTGTGTCACGCTGTTTGTGTCGCCCCCCCAGGGGCTGGGAGAGGCTTCCGCGCACGGCACAGCCATGGAGGGCGACTGCCTGAGCTGTATCAAGTACCTCATGTTTGTCTTCAATTTCTTCATCTTCGTAAGTATTCCGCCAAGATTCATCCTTCATCTCTTCTCTCCGTCGCACAAACAGTGACAAAATACTAATTTCCCGAAGGCTCACAGCTCTGGTAGCCTGATGTAACTTTTATGGGTACCTGTCCAATCCTGACGCATGCTGACCCTGTGACCACTGGGGGCCTCCTCACAGATTCTGAAAGCTTGTGCAGATGTTGCCTTCACTTACCGTCACTTTTCAGGGAAGAGGAGTGGAGTGCAAGGAGAGACAAACTGAAAGGAGATGATCATTGAAAGGGGGAAACAAGGGAAAAGTGTTCTATGAAGGTTTTGATAACACAGGACTGTTATAACACTTCAATAACCATAAAAATCACTTTATAAGAGAGGTTGCCATGGTGGCTCAGTGGGGGGGGGGGGGTATTGTTGCAGCATCCCTCCAGGGCTATAGTTCGGAATATCACCTCTATTCTGTGTGTAGCATTTGCACATTCTTCCTGTTTTTTTCCCTCCTGTAGTCCAAGCCATGCAGTTCAGCTAACTGGTGTTCCTAAATTGCCCACAGTGTATGATTATGTTAGTGTATATGTGCCCTGCAATGGACAGGTATCCCATCCTGGGTGAACCCCAGCCTTGTGCCCTACACTTCCTGGGATAGGCTGCTGGCCCCCATGTGACCCTGACCAGTCTACATAGTTAAAAGATGAATGGATGCATATGAAAGCGCCCAAGTCATCTACCTAACTCCACCCATAGCAGGAAGATGGGATCTGTACCCTTCCCCTTTCTTGGCTGCATTCTGGGTTTTCCTGTTTCCTGATGTTGATGGTGATTGCAGACACCATTTTAAGAGGGACTGATTTGAATGAAATGCTGCCTTATCAACAGGAGAAGTAGAAACGGTAGAAACAGGGACATATTTCGGTCTTGGCATCCATCCTTTGATTAGATTGCACTCCTGTTGGAAGTTTAGGGGAATGTGGTTTGTGAAGGTTGGTAGTCGCTGAATTCAGTGCGGCGCAGCACTCAGCTTCCAATTTCAGGCTCATCTTCACAGGAGATCCGTTTAGGAGACAATGGAGCAGGTCTGATGCCATTTAACTGGTTGACTGACTCACCTACAAACACAGAAACAACAGAATCCTTTGCGATGCTGCAGTCTGTGCCTGAACCACTGCAATCTTACGGGCTTTGCAGGACATTTCTGGTGTTTCTTCGCTCGTTTATTTTGGAATGTTCCGGCAAATTGTTCCCACGAGTTCTCCTTAGACACCTGTTCTGCGGGGTGATTTCCTCGGCATATGCTGGCTTACAAGGAACCGAACTCGCGAGCCATTATCTGCCCGAAAGGGGGCCACCCCCACCGTCGACTGATAGATTCCTAATGCGACCTTTAGAAGCTGCAGTGTGCACTTTACACAAACCTGAGCGAGAGAAAGGGCCAGAGCGAGAGACGTCCTCAAACCTCTTAACATCCTCCCATGATGTGTCTTTACCTTTTCAATCACAGCCCCCCTCCCCCCCGTTCAGTTGCCTGCCGCACGCGTTAAAAGCCCACAGAGGGCATTAGAATACGAGCGTAAATTTGTTCCCTCTGAAAGGTAGAGGACGGGGAAGAATAGCCATTTCACTCCCCATCAGGGCCTGTGTTGCTGTCTGCAGGGCCTGAAATAAGTGGTCTGATGATGTTGGGTTATGCTTTTCAGTGGCCGGGACAGCTGTAAACACGGTGCTTATTTATTACCTCTTATGTGAATGACAGTAATAACGTAAAGAGATGAAAATCTGTGTAGGTGGAACACCTGCAATTTGAACCATGCATCCTCCCTCATTTAGTGGTATGGAAACAGGAGACGTGTTCCAGCTCCCGGCACATGCTGCGTCGGTGCTAATTCCCTCCCTCCATCCATCCCACAGCTCGGCGGTTCCTTCTTGCTGGGGGTGGGCATCTGGGTGCTGGTGGATCCTACCGGCTTCCGGGAGATTGTGGCAGCCAACCCGCTGCTCTTCACGGGCGTCTACATCATCCTGGCTATGGGCGGTATGCTGTTTCTCCTGGGCTTCCTGGGATGCTGCGGGGCCATCCGTGAGAACAAGTGCCTGCTGCTCTTTGTAAGTCTGGGTGTCAGGTGGGGGGGGGGGGGCTGGGAGCTCCAGGATGGGCCCAATCAAAATCAGTCTTGTTCCATGTTGCCTGCATTTAACTGCAGAAGACCTTTGCCCGGTCCTAGTGGGAGGGGTCGTGCTCAGAAAACCTACTGAATCTTTAATCAGAATCCATCTCCCTCTTCCTCAGTTCTTCCTCCTCATCCTCATAATATTCCTGGCAGAGTTGGCGGCAGCCATCTTGGCCTTCATATTCCGTGAGCACGTAAGTGATGTTGCCGCTGGTGTTCCCGGGGGGAGGGGTAAAGGCCCAGCCCAGCCTAGCTCGCCTAACACCCCCCTCTCCGCCGTGCCCCCACACAGCTGACCAGGGAATACTTCACAAAGGAGCTGAAGAAGCACTACCAGGGCCACAACAACAGTGACGTCTTCACCTCCACTTGGAACGCCATCATGACCACCGTAAGTCCACTGGTGGCTCGTGTAGAGCATTTGCCTGACTGTCTGACAGAATTGAAATTGAAATCATTATAGTAATATTATGTGTTATTAAGTTGACTTTGTGTAATGCATACAAAATAAAAATGACGATATTATTCCCGTATTCTTACATTTTTCATGCTTATTCAGCTGGTTGCTTCAGCTTAACTGTCTTGTTCATGTCAAACGTGTTTGTACACCACAAGTTTTTGCCACTTCTCCATTTATTTCATAAAGTGCAGATTATTTATTCTTGAACTGGAAAGTTGAATGAACATCTGTAAATGAAAATATAAATCAAATAAAACAAGTTTCCTTTATAACATGGAATATCTAACAGTACATATCCTATTAACTGCTTGTGTGGAGATGGTGTAGGGAAATTCTAGGCCGTCCTTTAACTTTAAATGCACTAGTTACCGGTTTCATCCCATGAAACAGCATTATTTGATATCCCTTGTAGAAAGAATGCATCGAATTTGCTCTGCTGTTACACTATAACTGCTAGAGGAGGTTACTTTGATGAATCAAAGATGACATTTTCTTGCTAATAAAGGTACGCAAATGGTAAACATACTATAAAATTTGTTAATATTGAGTATATTTGTAATAAATGTTAAGTGAGTAACATGCAAATGTAGAAATCTGTGTGCACAAACTTGTGACTGATAGTGCATACTGTTGGAAACAGGGCATAAGAATTGTTAAGTTGTGCCCCGCTCCAATATCAAAGGAAGTTCGGGAACAGAAGTGGAGACAGGTTTAGCGTTGCCGGAATTAAGTCCAAAATGGGCAACAGGATGTAGAAGGGTCTCGTCACTGTGCTGGACCAGACCCCAGAACTCATTCTTATATAACGGGAATTGGGAATATCAGCGTCAGCTGAATGGATGGACTTGTCACCTGACTCTACCCTGCTGCCGGATGTCTGCGGCCAAAGCAAATAGCCACAAAAAAAAATCAGCACCCCCAAGCTTTTTATCCATGTCAGCACAGACGTACGTTTAATGTTTACAGTAATATCTTTAGCTGACGATTCATCCATAGCCCTGTACACAGAAACGGAGCAGTAAGTGTACACGACTAAAAACCAAGTAATTAGCATAGGCACAGAATCTGCGCGTGAAAGGAATTTTTGCGCAACTTCACATCCAAAAACTCGAGCTAAAAATGAACAAACGTGTTATATAAATAAGTAAACAAAGTATTCCTATTCAGGAACAGGCATGTAATTTAATAGCAGCCAATTACTAGCAGCATAGATGTCTAGCGCAATAATTCTGACAGACAAAGTTAACACTAATTCTCCTCTGCCTGCAGTTTGAGTGCTGTGGGGTAAACAGCCCTGAAGATTTTCAGGATAGCCTCTTTGGACTGGTGCCCGAGGCCTGTTGCCTGAGGAACAGTAACCTTGGAGATGGAGGCTACATCAACAAGGATGGTTGCCTCTCGGGCAGTATGACATACCGAAACAACAAGGTGGGTGGCCCCTGGGCTCCACTGGGCATGGTCAGTGTGGTCAAGGAATGGATGGAGCTCCACAGTAGAGCCTGAGTCAGTACTGCCAAACTTAGCCCTACAGGTTTCCACTTTGAGAATCAGTAATCTGATTATCTGATGCCAAAAGTTTGAAAACAGTATGAATCTGTATGAAATCCTTAGTCAGTAGTACCTGGTTTGCAGATTTTAAGCCGGTTAAAATTTCAGCATGGCTGGTTTTGTTGGTGGACAAACAGCACTTAATCCCTTATTGTGATTGGGGTATGTTTGTTGTGTCGTTGTCAAATACACACACGTTCCCTGATTTTCATTTGTAGTGTGTATATAGTGCCGCCTGCTCATACAGGAGGTGGCGGTAGCCTGTGTTTCGGGTCACCCTTCCCTCCCCAGTCTGCATTGAAATCTACGAGGACAAATTAACCGAAACTAAGCCATCGCTGGGGCTTCTAAAACCACTGGAGACGACAGTGTCGCCTCTTCATATTCAGTGGTATGAAGCATGTAAAAGTTGCAGCTCTTTTAATTAGACTTCAAGAATTCATGATTTAATATAACCAGAGAGTAGCTAACAAGGTATTTATTGGCTTTAGAGAATGCTTGAGAAATGGATCTGAACTTTAACATTTCAAATGATGTATCACACCGTCGCTAAGTTTGTTTCCTAGTCCATTTCAGCTGAATGTTTTATGACTTAAACTTGATGCACAACTGACTTTGTTCCCCACCTTAAAGGTTTACCATATTCCCTCTTGGAGAATAAGCGAGCTCCTAGCGAGCATTAGCTAATGGCTGGGGCCACTTTTCATTGCATTATAAACTGCTATTTCTTTTCATACTAATTTTGTGGAGTAAATGAAAACCACTTTCATTTGGCCGGGATTATAATGAAGAGCCCATTAAGTGGCCCGCAAGTGAAATGTAGCGTACGTTTGGTCATGCGGCTGGTCTGTTATACACAGCTGTAAGTGGGACTTGGGAGTGGTGGATTGGGTGAAACCGTATGAAGCACTTTGCTTCTTGAAGGGCTGATTGATGCTCTTACAATTCCTATGTGTGTGAAGGGGACCAGGTCTCCTCAATGTGAGGAATGGTACAGCGTGTCTCTTCCACCAAGGCCTTTGTAATAGGCCACCCTTCATGTGTAAATTATTTTCCCTCAGTTAAATTGCAGCTGTAAGGGATGTCGCATTATGCAATTTAAATTCCAGTTTTGATGTTACACTTACAGCCGTCGACCATCCATGAAAAGTATAGAGGAGACTATTATGGTAGTTCTCCCATTTACTGATTAATGAAATTATGGTGCAATGTCCGTCACCTGGGGACCCAGGGATGTTTGTGGTTTGTGCTTATTGTCTGGAGGTGCTGGTCTGGACTGGGATGCAGTGTGCTTTAACAAGTGCAATTAAAAGGCGTAGTCAGAACTGAAAGCGTAGTCGGAATTAAACAGCGTAATCGGAACAAAAGCAGATAGTCGCAGGGAACAATGCGAGGCTGAGGGCTGTTCTTCTCATTCACACACCGGGGATTTCAGGAAACGGCCGCGAGGCTGTCAAGGCCTCCCATCGATCCGAGCCGCCCTTTGTTTGAGCAGTTTTCTGCGCGCTCATTGTCTCCCTGCCTAACATGGTGGGCACCGTGCTGCTCTCCCTGTCGATTCCAACGTCTCGCTCTAAATGAACGCGAATGCATCTTTGTTTTCCCACAGGGCTGCTACTCGGCAGTGGTGGACTACTTCGAGACGTACATCTACTTGGCGGGAGCGTTAGCCATTGTTGTGCTGACTATCGAAGTACGTTCCTCCGTTTTCAAGAGCTTCTTTCATTCTTTCACTGCTGCCGTAGAGACACGAGCTATTTACTGCCCATCAATGCCAAAATCTGAGGCCTTTTTGTGAACACGTTGACAGTCAATTAAATATGATTATATGAAAAACATAAATGCATTATTTTTAAAGTCACCCATCTCAAAAAACAGCTAGCTTCATTCTCATGATCAATTGTAGTCTAGAGACACCTTGTGGACATCTATGGTATTGAACAGTAGAAATCTATGTTTCAAGCTTAGGTACTGCAAAACATTGGCTAATTGGTTAATAAATACATGTAAATATTCTTTGTGCTGTATTTAATTAACCCAATTTTCTCTGTTTTGCACAGCTTTTTGCCATGGTTTTTGCCATGTGTTTGTTCAGAGGAATCCAATAGATTCAGCATGCTGCATGTCAGGACTTTATAAAAGGGAAACTGCGCAATGGAAAGAAAACGAACACTTGTACATTACAAAGAAGATGTCCTTCTTTGGCTCTTTGTATACAATTGGGAGAATCGACTACAATCAGACAACTCGTACTCTCAGCTGAACCTTTGGGGTACCGGGCATGTTTTTAAAAAAAGAGAAAAAGAAATAAAGGAGAAAAAAAAACAAAGAAAAAAGCAACAGCGACAAAAACGAGTGGAAGGCTGACTGATGCTGCTGCGATTCCCAAGCGCAGGATGAGGAGGGCGCTGCACTGACATTTGGATGAAGAATATTTATAGTGAGGGAAGTCAGTCTAGCTATATAGAAGTATGTGTTTTAAGTATACCGTGGCTGTAGCCTAAACACCCCCCCGCACACTCCATGCACACTCTGCCAGAGCCACACCTGTTTAATGTTGTTTATCGTCCCATTCTGAATTACTCCACCGTGTGGCCTGTACCCCCCTATCTCTCTGCACACTAAGGCTTGCAAATAATTTTGTTGTGCATTTTTTATTGTATGGTGTTGTTAATTGCAATAGTACTTCTGTGTGATTTTAGCTTAAATGTATCTGTATGCATTTGTATTTGAATCTATGACTGATAAAAAAAATATTAAAAATGATTCTGTAACCTGCCTGTCAATTGACTGTTCATGCCAAGATGTTACAAGGAATGTATATAAGAGCAGGAAACCCTGATCATTGATCTACCCATTTTCAATCCACTTACCCAGGTGAGGGTTATGATTGAAACCACGATGACGTCTTAATGATATGTGTAAACCCTGGTGTTCTCGTCAATGAAGGTATGTAAATGTATTAGTAAAATTGTAGCATATTTCATTAACATCTATTCATTGTTTTGACTAATTTTGTGGTTATATGCCTTGCATACATTAGCCAGGGTTGACAACATGAAAAATGTTCATAATTTTGCTGTATTATCCAGTATACTCACTGGGAACAAGCAGTAAACAAGCCCATTATGAACAGAAATGGGGTACAAAAAATAATTTAAATGCATGATGCATCCAAGGGGCCCTTATTTTATACCCACTGACGATATTGAGCTTTTTAAATTCCTGTCAAGTATGGCACCTGCGCCAGCAGATGGCGGAGAGACGGATGCGTAAAATATCGCTACAGTAAGTGACTGAATATTATTTGTCAACCAAAGCCAACCAGCTGACAACAAAAGGAGGACAGAAGGTCTCCAAGACGCGAGGCGAGATCCATGTCAGCGGACTGCTTGTTGACAGGAGAACTCACTGACGGGATGAGCGACTCCCGCTCATAGCCTGATGCTCGTTTACATAATGTTCCTGTCAACATGTGCGGATGACCTGATAATTCAATCACTGTGCTGGCAGGTGCCATGTGCTTTAAACAGCTGTGTATTTCACAGAGATCTGGAGCCAGACACCTGTGTCAGCATGTATCCACTGCAAACTGACGTTTACAAAACACGCAGGGCACATCTTAGTATCACACACTCCTTCAGAAGGTACTCGATAAAGGAAACTGTCAACCATGTCCTCTGTTTCTCTCCTGTGATAAAAGAAACGCCATGGTTTAATGTCTTTCTTACTGTGTTCCTGTTATAAGTCTGTTGAGTCCGGGTAACACTTTAGATCCCTAATTCATAAATCACAGGGGCCATGAAAATGCTGTTGTTTGTTGTCTGGTGTTTTGCTGATATGGCTGCTGGGATTGAAGCACAGAAGTGGTTGTAAAACAAGACAGTGGTTGTGTTGGTGCTAAATAAAAAAGCACATTAAACTGGATGCGGTATATCACTGTTAATTGCTTTCTGTGTACTCCAGCTACATTCAGTGTCACTGAACTTTGTATATGAGTTCACTCTATTCCACATTGTGAGAACATTACCTTCATATACAGTGACACTTTTTTCATATTAATAACCCTTTATAAAAAACATTCAAGGAAGCTACTGCAAGTCTTTATCAGTAGGCCTATGGTAGAGGTATATATATATATAGTGCTCTAAATTAGTCTCCATGAACTGCATACTTAAATCGTGATATCGGAATCATGACTAGTTTGCAAAAATTCCTTAAATGATCTCGCCCTGTTTCACGTCAGAGAAATATTACTGTGTAACACAAAGATGTGAAATAGGGTTAGTGCTTTACGTATAGTGTACATCCAGGGGCGATGGATGGGGAACGAGGGACCCCCGCCCCCCTCACTATCATTCATTCCTGCTTCGTATTCAGATGATTAAATCGCGTCCCCTCCAGGGGCGATTCTAGCTATTAAAAATATCCCGGGTTAAGTCGACTTTACCTGGGGCTTGACCTTTTTTCTTTGAAGGAAGATTGGCATAGGGGCTAAAATACTCGGAGCTGTAACTCCTAGTGATCGGACCTAAGGACGCCCACAGTCCCCTCCACCATCAAACTCCATCCTGCGTCGGTGGTTACACCTGAAACCAGAGCACGACACGGTAAGTTCTAACGATTCTGTGTCTCTCATAATAATGACTAAGATAGACACATGATTCTGGGGGTCGAAGAAATCTGATTCGAACGGTTAATTAGTGGCAACATGAAAGCGGCCACTATTCTTTCAGCAAACTGGGTCAAACAGGTGACTATTAATGAGTGAGACGGCTACGCCTTGCTTTGGATCAGTCCCTGTTGACTTCCTAAATAAGCAGTTATCACTCTTTTTATATTTTGCCGTGTCGTACACGTTACTCCTGGTTGGCAGCGTGATGGTTGATTTCACGTGTCAGACCGGTGTTCTGACAAGTTGAGCTACTTTGTCGAGTTAGGCTACCGTAGTACTAATCGATAGCCCTAAACCTAACAACCCAAAAACCCCTAAAACCCTTACCTTAACCTTAACCCTAACCCCTAAAACGTAACCCTAATTCCAAGACGGTGGAACGTTTCGATAGGTAGCTCAACTCGTCAGAACACCGGCGTCTGCTGTTTATTTACTGTGCATTGTACTTGACGAAGGCAAAATGTTTATTTTTATGGCAAATATAATACAGCTTCTCAAACCCAAGATATAATTGACTACACTTTAAAAATATACAAGAGGCTTTTTTATATTTAATATAAAACAGTGTGGAAGGTCAAATTTTTAAAGCCAAGAGGGAAACGTTTTACATAAAGACAAAAGGGACTGCGGGACCATTAGCACAAGGTCTACCAAGGCATACATTTACATTTATTTACATATAAGACATTAATTGGGGCGTTGAACTACTATAATCTGGTAAACGGAGAGAAAGCGGAAGACTCTAGATCACTGATACTAACTCTGGCCACGGGGGGGCAGTAGTGCCATACAATTTACTGGTGGTTCACAAACTGACGGAGATGCGGTACTGTTTACTATCAATGGCCTAATAAAGAATAAGGCTATCCATTGCTTTTAAAACAGCCTGGAATGCTATCATACAGTTTCAGAGCTGTGCCTAGTGGAATATTGGACCATTTGTCAGTGAGACATGGCTGCAGTATTTTTGTGAAATGAAGGATGTAATAATCTGTTTGGCAGGTTCAGTGATGATCTTTCAATCTGCTATGAAAGAAACTTTATTTCATCCGGATGTAAAACGACTCAGTTTTCATTTTGATTTGTTTACCAGTATGTATGGCAGCATTATCATCCTGGAATACTTACAGCACAGGATGTACCTAATCCTGTAAAAGCAGAATAACCATTAGACCTCGTGACTGAAAGTGATAGACAGCTGCCCACACAAACTCACATTATGGCTTTGAAGGTACACTTTGGCTTTCTCTGTATGTAAAAACCAGCCAATTGTAGGAAAAGGGATTTACGATGACTCATCAGTCAATTTTATTTTTTTCCTTTATGTAGGGGTGCAAGTTTTGTGCCCTGCATGTTTGTAGCACACACCTTTGTACACAGGATTTAAATATGAGCTGTTTCTGAAAACGCCTCTATTGTAAATTCATGCCTTGTCTTATTAGTATCCGTTCCTGTATAGACTGGGTCAAAGAAGTACCACTCAGTTTTGAGGCCATCATTTTGTGATGTGTATTAGCTATCCTGTGCCTCCATGCCTGTCTGACCTTTGACTTACTACCAGAGTTCCTCTTGGTGATGCAATTTCTCTGTGTTTGATATATGCGATTGTATGAAGTTTCTCTGTGTTTGATATATGCGATTGTATGAAGTTTCTCTGTGTTTGATATATGCTGTCATGATTTTTCAGACTGTTCTCTGTGATAGATTAATTTTGTAGTTTTTCTGACCACTTTAGACACCACATTTTTTTGTTAACCAGAGGATGTTTAAAGGATGAGTCAGAGTAGATTTCCTTTGGGGTATACAGATTTTATTTGTGTGTTTGTTTGTTTGTTTGATTGTTTATTTATTAGGTGATAGGCCTAGTTACACAAGTGTTTTTTTAATATTTAATATTTCTGCGGCATTTGCATGATTATATGGGTATAAATTTACTGCAGTATTAAGAGTTTAATTACTCATAATAAATAATCCATGTGTATTTCTGTTACTAATACAATAAAACAATAAACTCATAAATTTTGATTATATAATTTTATCTGCAACTTGATAAGAGAAATGCATTATCTTGTTTATGTCCATTCAATCATAACACTATCTGTGTTTTTCTTCCTGGAAATCTCAACACTGAGAGCCACAATTTCAGGTTTTTATTGGAAACGCATGTGTCTGATGGAACCGTGGCTTTTTTCTCCGTATCTATATGCATCTCCTATTTAATAACAGGATTTTGGCCTCCTCAGCCTGTAGCATGGCCGCTGTTTCTGTTAGGAACGGTGAAAACACGAGTTTGAAGTGTGCCAAAGCCCTGAAAGGGTGTTCACTTATATTGAGATGTAGGGAATTTCCTGGGCTCATCCAGCTGTGGCCCATTTGGCACTAGGCCTTATGAAAAGCAGCTGAGGGTGTAGGGATGTGAACAGGTACAGCCAGGCCTTAAAGAGTAGCGGAACTTGAGTGATACTAACACAATGAAAGCTAAAGTCACTGATACTAAGTGGGGCTTTGTGTCTCTTGGTGCTGCTGAATGTGTGTGGGTGTAGGTATATGTGTGAGTGAAGGTTGCTATTAAATAGGCCTTTAATGGTACAATTTTTTGTTGTGCGCAGTTTGGTTTGTTATTTTCGATTCTGTACTTATGAGACGGATGAATGGATTGACATTAGTGAATCTAAATTCACGACTGGTTATTCAACGCAGAAAACATGTTAATTGTGGCTGTGAGTCGGTTAGGGCTCATGCTGGTTACAGTCAGTCATGATCGGCAGTTTGGGAGTCGTTTGGTTTCCCAAGAAATTACACTGGCACTGGAGAGAGAGTAGCTGATAAGACCAAGACTGTCTGTCGGCTCTGTTATACTAATCTGGATATGTTGCTGGAAAGACATCCAACACGGCAACTCATTTTAGACGACGTCATTCGAGTGTATGTGTGTGTACGACACAAACAGCCTCTGCAAGTTAGTCTGCCTGTGGAATTTAAGGTGCTTTCATTATGACTTTGATGTTATATGTTTGATATATTCTTGATGTTTTTATTTATTTTATATATTTTTTATAATGTGCGTTATATATAAAAGCGTTGCTGGTTTTGTTATTCAGA